AGGAGCATCCTTCAACGGAGGTACCCAGTCGGGGTGCCAGGTGATCCATTACACAGGCCACTCACTGCCTCACCTCGGCCAGAAAATCTTCGTAAGAGTCAGAGTATGCCATACTTGCCTGCTCCAAGTCACTGGACACCTCTGCTTCCAGGGGCGCGGCACGAATGCTAGCATTGCCCTCACTATGATCAACACATTACCGTTGTCTCCAGGATGCTTCTCCTCACACTAGGACGCCATCCCGCTGCTGCCACCAATGTAACGGATCGCCTGGCACCCCGACAGGGTACCTCAGTTTGACGGATGCTCCTAGTGCTTCCCGAGGGCTCCAAACACTTAACTAGACACCATAACCACCGCAGACGCCACGAACCGCTGCAGCTTGGTTAGGGTCGTCATCCACCCACTCTGGACCAAAGACCAGAATCCAGCTTCCAGTAGGTAGACCTCTCTTGTAATCCAGAGAGCAGGAATCGGAACAGCTCTTACAAGAGCTAGTGGTTATACTCTGGGGACTATAGTGATTATAGCAATCTCCAGAGTGTAGCTCTCCAACCCCCCAAACATGAGCCAAGACTTCATGAAGGGTAGAACAAGTCTGAGGCTTTATTGGTACAGGTTTGCTTATATACAATTTCACAGGCCAGAGGCACACCCCCTGGACCTAATGGAACACAGACACAGAAAGGACACAAACCAATCAGAACAATACAACAATGTCCAACACTCCCACTTACAGCACACAGTCCATCCCCTCTGCCTGTGATACAATTAACAAAGACAATGGGCTAACTCAATTAACTCTAAACAGAAAAAACATAGAAACATAGAATGTGACGGCAGATAAGAACCATTCGGCCCATCTAGTCTGCCCAAAAAAAGGAGTTTGATGACAGCGGTGGGATTCGAACCCATGCCCCCGAAGAGACTGGAGCCTTAATACAGCACCTTAGACCGCTCAGCCACGCTACCTGCGCATACATTTTTACAAACCCCAAAAAGTACCCCAAAATACAACACATCCCCAAATCCCCTGATAGCCCCGATCTGGATGAACAACATATCCAAAAATCACCCAGATCGGTTCAGGGGTTCAGGAATTTCCTGGAAGTCTTATTTTTGCCCCACCATGCACATGGTCCCATGCCCAAAACAGTTCCTTACACTCGACGACAAAACACTGCTGGACAATTTAAGATGGTCGCCGCCACATGTTTGAATCTGTTCCAGTTAAAAGTCCAAGGGGCAGAAACAGTACTTTTGAACATGGGTTATCACAGGGCCCATAGTCCCTGGGTAGGAGGCTGGCAAGCAGGCCCCTCCAAAAACCAGTGGCGAAGTTGCTTTCTTCACAGTCCTCCTGTTTGGAAGATAAGTAGTGTAGCCATAGAGATAAGTGTGATATGAGCTGGTAAATTGATTACACCCTACAGTCAAGCACTGTCCTCTTATGTGTAGTGTTTCAAAGCCATGCAAAGGTAAATTGGGACAAATAATAAGATGTCACATGGTGCAGAGTGATGTCAGATGCTCAGCTTACACTGACTTCACATTGGCTGAGCTGAGTACATACTCAGACTAAATCTAATAAGGAATTTACTTTGCTTTGGAGATATTCATTCACCAATCCAAAGGGGATTTAAGCCTGAATAGACACTTGTTATGTATATCCCTGGAGGTTGATACGTCATTGGGAAATGAGAATTACGTATTAAATTGAAAATAGAGTATGTCAGATGATATTGCACAATCGGGGTCCTAGTCTTTTGTGTTCCTATCTATATATCAGAAGTCAAAATCAGAAAATGTTGCAATGCCTGATAAAGGGAATGGGGACAAATAATTACCAGATTTTACTATTAACATGACGTAGTCATGATTTTATTAATGACACGGAGGCGAGTATTATGCATTCTCTTTTTTTATTTACTCCCAGCAGCAAGGAAGGAAGTATGAGAGAATCATAAAAAAAAACCATAACACTGGCACCAATCAGGATAAAATACTGTCCATATGGGTGTGGTGCTCCTTGACTCCTCCTCTTTCTGTGTAGATCCCGAAGACCATAATTGTAGGGTCCAAAGTATTCCAACAAGAGCTCGAACTTTTGAAACAAACACATATCCGGAAATTCAACTAGGAAAAACCTTCAACCTCCAAACTCTTGAAGGTGTATTCAAGCTAGAAGAGAAGAAAATATATGGTAATATCGAAAGCTTGCAATTGTTAGGCCACTACTATCAAACTCGTCAACCGTGTTAACCAATCGTTATTAAATATCATATAAGTTATATTTATCGGGTGCATTACCCACCTGCGCGCCATGCATGACATTGTACCTACAATGTCGTACCATCCAAAAGGCCCAATGAATGACCTGTAAATTAACCACTAACACAGGTAGGGTGGGTGGGAATAATACTCGCCTCCGTGTCATTAATAAAATCATGACTTTACGTCATGTTAATAGTAAAATCTGGTAATTTTTTTAAAGACACGGAGGCTCCTATTATGCTATTTTAAAGTTAAGCAACCACCATACTGGAAATATGTTGCACCGGGCGAAAATAGAATTTACGAAATGTACATTCATTCAACCAATCAGCCCACTCGTAGGATGTCTTCCAATCTACAACCTATCATGGAAGCCCTAGAAGCAATAGCTCCACAAATGGAGTGGGAAGAAAAAATGTGTCTATGCCTGCAACGGCCAATAACCATTTGATCCAATGAGGAGTTAAAGTTAAAGTAGGAGTAGATACTGATAGATGTGGCACTCGAAAGGAAATGAATAATGGATGGAGTTAATTTAAACGGAGCGAGATTGTACGGTGTTAGTATTCCTTAAGACATAATACTGGGCACAGGTTTGGGTTGTCTGGAAACGACAGGTAAAAAACCTCCCTAGTCGAGGATTTCGTCCTACGTGAAATATTAAAGCATAATCCGTTTGGAACAAAAACACGTGCTTGCCAGTCCAACGCTCTGACATCAGCCACATGTTTACATGAAAGTAAACAAAACAGCATCAACAGCTTGACTGATAATTGTTTAAGAGAAAGTTTGTGATTCAAGGGCCAAGACTTGAGAAAACAAAAAATACCATTAACATATCAAGCCTGAGGGGGTCGGGGAAACGGATGCCTTTGAGCAAATGACAAATGAGGGTATGTTTACCTATTGGAGTACCAACCAAACCACGAATGCTAGCATTGCCCTCACTATGATCAACACATTACCGTTGTCTCCAGGATGCTTCTCCTCACACTAGGACGCCATCCCGCTGCTGCCACCAATGTAACGGATCGCCTGGCACCCCGACAGGGTACCTCAGTTTGACGGATATAGCAGATCTGTACAGGTTTATAGCACAAAAAGTTTTTCTATCTCCGAAGAGCAGAGTCAGAAATTGCAAGATTGATTTCACAGGAGCTGATATGGGATCCACCGATTGTCCCATGCACCAATCAGTACACTTTCTCCAAGCCGACCCATAGGAACGTCTGGTACCTGGTGCCCAAGCCTCTGCCAAGAGACTGAGTGTTGTCTGCGAAACATCCTCAAGATTCCATGATCTCCTGATATGAGCCATGCCAACAGATGAAGTAGACCCTGGTCGATCAACTTGTGACTCACTCCCTCTGGATTGGTCAAAATGTAGGGTATGTCCGGCAATAGACGTGGAAAGTCTATCGACATTTCCAATAAATGTGGGAACCAAGGTTGCGACCTCCATATCGGAGTTATCAGAACCAGGGTCCCTTTGGAATATCGAAAGAATGCAAGGGTCCGAGAGAGTAGGTTGAAAGGTGTAAAAGCGTAATTCCTCCGCTTGTTCCAGTCTTGTAAGAATGCATCTGTCGCCAGAGCATCTGGGTCCGGTCTCCAACTGAAGAACCGAGGGAGTTGGGCATTCAGCCGAGATGCGAAGAGATCTATGTGGAAAGGCCTCCAAAGTCGAGAGAGATGTTGGAAAATCGTTGGGTGGAGTTGCCAATCCCCTGAATCTCAAAGGTATCGAGAATTCCAATCCGTAGTTGCATTGTCTCGTCCTGGGATATATTCTGCTACTACCGATATGCTGTTCTTCAGACAATAATGCCCAAAATCTCGAGCCATTACTGCTAGAACTTTCCATTTTATTACTCCTAGGTGGTTGATATAACGCACCGCTAAGACACTGTCCATTTTACTGTCACGGGCCCCGGCTCGCCGCGAAGTGCGGTCACACCTGATCGGCACAACCACACCAAGGAACTAAGCTTACCTGCTCAGCGGCAAGTCGGGAGCCGCTGTCGGCTTCTCCTGGCCACCTGCCCTAAAGAGAAATGGCGGCGACCATGTGGTCGTGGCCATTTATAGCCCCGCCCCCCAGGATCATACAAATGTGTGTGTGACGTCATGACGTTCTGGTGTCAGAGATCACCCTCTGACGAATCACAGTGATTCTATTCAGGTTTAGACTTTTAGTGTTGGAGTTTCAAGGGTATTTGCAAAGTACTCGCCTCCTATGTGTCTGTAAAAGAGGCATGAGTGGGTATACAGAGAGCATTACTCAGAGCTTCGTCTGCTCATACTACAAGGCATTTCCTTTGTGAGAGGCTGTTAATGGGCAGATGGAAAGTGATCCCTTCCACTTTCTATCAAGCCTCACTGATAGTCATTGGTTTTACACTCTCTATAACTGTTCCTACAGGTCTGCTATTAAGGATGACTGGACTACAGGACACACTAGCTAAGGCTCCAGTACTTTTCTCTCCCAACCAGCCTATATAAGCTAAAAAAAACACATTATAAGTGAAGAAAACAAGTGCCCCCTAGTGCTCAGGTATGGCGGAACCACCGCCTGTTAGGCACGCGCATGGGAAAAATATTCGGTTTGGTTCGGCATTCTGAAATTCAGGACTTCAGAACTTCGACACTTTGGTTCGGCATCGGCACTTCGACACTTCGGAACTTCGGCACTTCGGGACTTCAGGACTTCGGGTAAGTGTAGGGTTAGGGGTAGGGTTAGTTTAGGGGTATGGTTAGGGTAGGGTTAGGGGTAGGGTTAGGTTAGAGGTAGGCTTGGGGGTAGAGGTAGGGTAGGGTTAGAGGTAGGGTTAGGAATAGGGCTACTCCAACCACTAAGCCTAACCCTACCCCAACCACTAACCCTACCCGAACCCTTTACCCTACTCCTAAACCTAACCGTACCTCAACCCCTAACCCTACCCCAACCACTAACCATACCAAAACCCTTAACACTAACTCTACCCCTAAACCTAACCCTAACACAACCCCTAACCCTACCTCTACCCCAACCACTAACCCTACCCTAACCTAACCCCTAACCCCAACCCTCTCCTGTTTTGCCACTTTTCAGAAATCCGAAGCACTTCGGCACTCACAAAATTCGGCACTTCGGAAATTCGGCACTTCAGTTCGACATTCGGTTCGACATTCTGAAATTTCGGAACTTCGGCGATTTAGTTCGGTTCTGCGTTCCGAAATTCGGCACTTTGGACATTCGGAAGCATCCAAATGTCCCAATTTCCGAAATTCGGACGAATTTGCATTCGGAACGAAACAAATTGCACATGTCTACCACCTGTTAGTGAACTGCCTTTATTTATATTATGTCCTACAGAAATAATGGTAACCTGTCACTGTTTTATAGTCCACAAGACAACCTGGAGCAAAGTTTCTATTGTGTGCAAAGCCGATATACACTTACCCCATAAGAGTTACTGTGATATTTCAGAATACTGGGATATAAGCAGGACAGGAGTCTGTGGGACCAGCATGAGGACATATAGGTGACTTTAAAGGGGAACTATCACTTACCAGAATTTTTAAACCTGTATTATAAGTAAAAACCTGAACCTCTTTATCCTCCAAATGAGCAGTTCAATTTTAACTCCCTGTCAATCATTGTTACAAACGCTGTCCTATTCACTTAACTGTCAGCATAGAGAAAGCATATATAGAAAAGGGAAATTATAAAGTATATGAACTCCTGCTTCCTTTTCCCGAACAGCCAGAAGAGCGCTGTTCGGTAGTTTGATTCCCACGAACCAGGGGAACAATCACTGCAATGAGCCAGGGGGTTCCATTCATGCATTTATTAGTTTTTGTGACTTTTCAAAATAGACCGACCGCACAGCCTAAACTCATGAAACTGTTTCTGAGCAGAAGCCTCTTGTGTGGTCGGTCCAAATGGGACTTCCATAAAATTCCAAAACCCCTGAAATGATCTGGGTGATTTTAGGATATGTTGGTCACCCAGATCAGGGCTTTCAGGGGAAATAACATTTATGGGGATTGTATGTGTTTTGGCGTACTTTTCAAGGTTTATGAAAAAAAGTTTTTTTCTGCCTGGAGATAATTGAGTTATTACTTTTTCTGACTCAATTATCTCACTGGCAGAGAGGAGGGAATTATCTGTTTGTATTGGGAGTGTTACACTTTGTCATTGTGTTATGATTGGTTGTAAACTATGTGTCCCTGTCTCCCACAAGGTCCATGTGGGAGTGTCCCTTGCATGGAGACTTGCATACAAGCCAGTCTGGCACCCATTAAAATCATTCATGTTGTACCCTTCATGAAGTCTAGGCTCATGTTTGGGTAACTGTCTACTTGCTGGGGAGAAACTACTTGGACGCTGCATTCGTTTGGAACCATTCAAATCTACACCCAAATCACTCGGGCTCAGCAGTTCGGCGGAAATAGGCAAACAGGGTATCTACTATACCAGTTTTCGTAACAGTGACGGTTTCCTATTAAATCAAGCATTATAAACAGGCCCTAAGATGGAGATGTGTCAATAAAGTGCGCATGTGTGCCAGCCTGAGAAAAAGGTCAGGCCACCATAACCAAGACTGTCCTAACAAATCCAGAATTGGCAGCTAAATGCAAAAGCTGGTTCTACTAAATATGTTTGGGAGGGGAACTTGCATATAATAGATGTATATGTTTAATTTAATAGATTCTACATCTTAAAATAATGTATTCTGAGTTTTAGTGTCTTAAAATAAAATGTCTTGTAAGGTAAAATTTGAGTGTGTAATTCAATAAACTGTGATATAAGCTTTTTTTTTTTGTTTAATATCATTTTTATTGTGTTTTCAGTATGTAAAATCATTGCATGGGGTACAGAATAGAGAAGGGGTTGACAAAAATATAACATAGTGGGGATCCTGTAGAGTTATACAAAATGATTAAAACAGAGTTTTTTCGTATACGTAAACCTGTCCTATGTTAACGGAATGTGGTGATGGGGATGGAGCAGGGGGAGGTGAAGTGAACGGGGGGAGGGCGGTGGTTGGGGAGTGGGGGATCCTGTCGCTACCTGCCTGTATAGAAGTTTAGATTCTGGAGTCTAGAGTTTTCCGGCTCTTTGTAGTAAGGTGTTTTTGATTTCCGTATAAGCCTGATTCAAGTACTCTCGCTACGGCTAGTTATGAGCGCTTTTCCTGCGGGGGGGCTTTCCCAGTAGGTGAGCCAGGGTTTCCAGATTTTGAGATATTTAGCTCTCTTGCCCTGTGTCGACCAGTGGATCTCCTCTAGCTCTCTGGTCCACTCTACCCTTTGGACCCATTGGTCTCTAGAGGGCGTTTGCGTTTGTCGCCAGAGCATGGGTATAAGTGCATTGGCCTCGCTTAGGAGGATGTTTAGAAGTTGCTGTTTATACGGGTCTATCAGTGCCCGTGGCCACCCTAGTAGTACTTGGGAGGGGGATATGTGTGCCCTCATGGATAGGAGTTTCTTAATGTCCGTGAGTATCATGTCCCAGAATGGTGCTATGTTATTGCAGCTCCACCATATGTGTTCCATGTTGCCCACTGCTCTCTCGCACCTCCAGCACTGGTCGCTTACTGTGGGCCAGTAGGTGTGGAGAAGGGCTGGTGTTCTATACCATCTGGTAACCCTTTTGTAAAATGTTTCTTTGCGGGCGATGCTTAGTGGGGATTTCATCCCTGAGGTCATGATGTGTGCCCAGTCACTATTCGTCATGTGAATGTGGAGTTCCCTCATCCATTTTCGTTGGTATGGGGGTCTGGGTGTATCCACTGCTTCCATTTGGAGGAGGCGGTAGATGGCCGATAGGGGCCGTTTTGTTTTATTGCCCTGGGAGCATAGGGATTCGAAGAGCGTCTTGTCCCTTTTCCTCCACAACGGGAGGACCGATTGGGTCAAGAAGTGGGTTAGCTGGGCTTTGGCCATAATGTCTAGTAATGTTCCTCTGTTACCTGGTGTGAGGAAGGCCTTTATTTTAGGAGGGTCGTCTCCTGTTAAGACCGTCGCTACTTCTGGGCAGGCCTCTCCAGTGACCCGAGTTAGAGTAGTGCTTCCCTGACCATTTTGGAAGTCTGGGTTGTTGGCCAGAGGGAAAAACTGGGACAGACCGGGGGATAGTCCCCAGTCCTCTCTATGTCTCCTCCATGTCCGGAGTGTGTTATGGATGAGGGGGTGGTGTGTTGGGGTAAGTGTTGTGAGTTGGCATGTCTGCCAAGGGAGCGTGTGGAGAGGGACCGTCGCAAAGCTCTGTTCAAGTTTGTACCAGGCTTTTGGCGTGTCAACCTTATTCCAGTCCCTGACTCGTGTGAGGAGAACTGCTACGTAATATTTGTATAGGTGAGGTAAGCCTAACCCCCCCCCTCCCCGGTGGCGCTGTTATTGTCGAGTATGCCAGCCTCGCAGGTTTGTTTCCCCATGTGAATTTTACGAGTATGGATCTCAAGCGTCGGAAGAATTCTCCCGGTAGAGGGATCGGAAGGGTCTGAAATAGGTATAGTACTTTCGGTAGAGTCATCATTTTTATTATATTGACCCGACCCATTAATGAAAATTGGGGTGAGTCCCATTTTTTGAGGTCTTGGGCTATAGTGTCTATGAGTGTCGGGAAGTTCTGAATGTACAGGTCCTTGAGTGACGGGGTGAGGCGAATACCTAGGTATGTCAAGCTTTTCTGAGCCCAGGCGAAGTTATGGGATTCCCTGATCTGGGCCTGTAAGGTCGATGGTATGGAGAGTCCTAGTATCTCGCATTTTTCTGTGTTGATTTTGAAATTCGATAGTGTGCCAAATTTGTTTATTTCTATTTGTACCTGTGTCAGTGTGTGGAGCGGGTCTGTGACCGAGAAGAGCACGTCGTCTGCGAATGCAGAGACCTTCACCTCTCCCCCTGGATAGCGGTGTCCCTTAATTTGGGGGTTGTTCCTAATAGCTGTCAGAAAAGGTTCTATCGCCAAGACGAACAGGAGAGGAGATAGCGGGCATCCCTGGCGGGTGCCGTTTCCTATTTGGAAGGGCGTGGAGTGTTGCCCATTGACCCGTACAGTGGCAGTCGGACCTATATATAGTGCGCGTATCCAGCTCCTTAATTTGGGGCCTAGACCTAGATTCTCCAATACTCCAAATAGGTACTTCCAGTCTACCCTATCAAAAGCTTTTTCAGCGTCTATGCCCAGCAGTATTGTGGGGATGTGATTGGTATTGGCTCCATGTATGATACTTATTATTCTAGAGGTGTTATCCCTGGCTTCCCTTCCCGGCACAAAACCTGCTTGGTCGGGGTGTATCAATTCCGGCAATAATGGTTTAAAGGACCACTATAGTGCCAGGAAAACATACTCGTTTTCCTGGCACTATAGTGCCCTGAGGGTGCCCCCACCCTCAGGGTCCCCCTCCCGCCGGGCTCTGGAAAGGGGAAAGGGGTTTAAACTTACCTTTTTCCAGCACTGGGCGGAGAGCTCTCCTCCTTCTCTCCTCCTCCGTTCCGCCCCGTCGGCTGAATGCGCACGCGCGGCAAGAGCTGCGCGCGCATTCAGCCGGTCGCATAGGAAAGCATTTACAATGCTTTCCTATGGACGCTGGCGTGCTCTCACTGTGAAAATCACAGTGAGAAGCACGCAAGCGCCTCTAGTGGCTGTCAATGAGACAGCCACTAGAGGATTAGGGGAAGGCTTAACCCATTCATAATTATAGCAGTTTCTCTGAAACTGCTATAATTATGAAAAAATGGGTTAACCCTAGAAGGACCTGGCACCCAGACCACTTCATTAAGCTGAAGTGGTCTGGGTGCCTAGAGTGGTCCTTTAATACGGTTAGCTATCAGTTTGGCTATAAGTTTAAGGTCTAGGTTAATAAGGGAGATGGGTCTGTAGCTGCCGCAAGCTTCCGGGTTCTTCCCAGGTTTGGGAATGATGGTGATAGATGCGCGTAGCATCGGGGCAGGGAGAGAGGTGCCTGGTTCTTACCCGTTGATCATCTTAAGAAAGTGTAGTCCCAGGTCATCTATCAGTGCCTGATAATATCTAGCTGTTAGGCTGTCAGGGCCGGGGCTCTTTCCTTTCGGCATTGTTTTGATCGCTTCAGAGAGTTCCT